GGGGATATGTCATCTTTCTGATGACTCTTGTTCTCTAATGTGCCTTTTCCCGCAGAAGTCTAAATAACTCTTATACACATAGTTGTATATCATTGTCATATGTTTGTCAATATTACACTGAATGAAGCACTTTACAATTGTTTTTGAAATAGTCGCAACTGATATTGAAGGTCAAATTAGCTTTCAATGTCTTTCAGTAAAAATGTTCACAGTAACTGAGGAACAGCTCTCTGTAGTGTGATGAAATCTGGTACATGTCACCCTCAGAGTGAGGCATATTGTGTTTCAAACTTAAATGAAGCTGGTATGCTCATAACAAGTACTTGTACCTTTTCAAATAATCATATTATCATCTCACTAGGACCAAAGGCCCAAGTGAGCACACAGTCGATGAGTTTATACTTTCACTCAGAATAATCTGGAAGTCTGAACATGAAATTTAAGGATATCATCATACATGTATTAGAACTGTTGTTTGTTCATTAAACAGCTTAACATCTAAAAAGAATTATAGATGAAATTGAAAAAAATTGTCTTCTCCAAAAGTACATGCCCATAGATCTCAACTTTAAGGGGATATTTACAACTAAAATGACACAGAATATTACTACAGCTATCTGATATGCCCAGGCTAACATTATTTACCAGAAATAAGACATCTCGAAAAATTGCATCCGGATACCTGCCGGATACCTGCCGGATACCTTCAGCAATGTTCAATTTTCATGGTTAATTTCCAATATATATTTAGGTGTTTCACACTTAATTGAACAAAATGCACCCCCAAATTGTGACATGTTTTTGGAAACTCAGGATGAGGTATCCGGTGCCGGATTCTTGGTATCCGGTGCGGATCCTTGGACACCCAGATTGAGGTATCCGGTGAGGTATCCGGTGCCGGATACCCGGATTCCAGGTGGCATACTTTCAGGTGAGGTGTCCATGCCGGATACCACGGATCTGGTATCCGGCAAGGTATCTGCCACCGGATACCCGGACGCGTTTTGGGTAAGTGTCCGGTGGTATCCGGCAGGTATCCGGATACCGGAAACTGCATTTTTTTTGCTGTGTTTAAGCACAACGATTTCAAATGAAGGTAACAGGTATACTATTCCGCCTGGAAAAGGTATTTATCCACTCCGGGGATCCAGTGTACGTGTGATTTATCCAACATTTTTTTGATTATGATTATGATCACGACAACACCTCCTCTGACACTTTCAATGAACTTTATTTGAACTTGTGCGTTTGCTTAGTTATTTAAATGTGAGATACTCATTTAAAGGTATCTCTAAAGAACACCACGCTTAGTAATTTAAATGTGGGACACTCATTTAAAGGTATCGGTAATCGGATTAATTAATTACCCGCTAGAATAGGTGAAATGCACTCAGCTGGAAATGTGGCCCTACCGGCAATAGCCATTTCTGAAATGTGGCGCTCCCGGCTAGACACCATAGAGTGAGAGGAGGGTGTCTTTGGAGGCCCCCCAGAAGCAAGTGGTGATCTTTTTTTCTTTTTATTTTACACCGAAATGTCGCTCGTTATTGTAATAAAGAAGTTGTTCATCCATAAATTCTATTCTTACTTAGTACTCCAACTTCTAAATGCCTATCAAAGAAGTTAACTAATTCCACAGTACAGTTTACTGAGAACAATACGTCATTCAAACACAAGAAATTACATAATGGACATTAGGTAGTATTACCATTGCTGGGCTGAGGACTTCCCGTTTGATGACATCTGCTCCGCAAACAGAATAAACATTGATATAATCTGAGAGTTGTTTTTAGGAAAATACTATTGTTTTCAGGAAGCACTAATGAGCGGTGTTGTTTGCCTTTTGTTTTGATAACTAGGCCTGGGGGCGGGGGATCCAATATAACTCTTAACTAGGGCCATAAATCAATCAAATACTTTTTAACCAGAAATCCGAGGATTGTTATAAAAGCACCTACGTCTGTACTGTTAAAATTATCTTTAAGTAGATAGTGAGAAAACTTCATCATTCCCTTCATGTGTATAATTTGAAATGTGACTGGACAAATCTCAGCTCCCTTTTATGATTAAAACCCACCTCAGCCTCCGCCCACTGAGGTCAGGTTTAACAATTTATTAATGTTGTTTTACTTATATACTTTTTATCGTAGAGAAACACATAACATATGCGACCCCTATAGTGGCCAAGAGGGAATATTGCTATACCGCGGTAAAGCGAAAAAGTGATAGAGCGAGAAAGTGATGTTCCCTCTCGGCCACCATAACAGTTTGCAGGTGCCTCAAGCAGTAGCGCCAAGCACGTGTGTAAGGTGTCATTCCAGATTTTGACACTTTCAAGGAAGGTCGATAAGAAAATCGTAAGAAACTTTATAATGAAACTAAATCTCAATCCTTGCAACATAGAAGATACTGCCAAAAATTAACTTTTTTCTTTTAAATGTATAATAACCAATTCCCAAGCTATCTTTGTGATCTGATCCCAAACTTTGTCTCCGAAACTACAAACTATAATTTAAGTAACAGTTCTAAAATACAAGGAATTTATAGCCGTACTTCTTCTTACGCCAAATCCGTTTTACCAGACACAATACACTTACCAAATTACCAAAGAGTCAAGTTGTCTGTCAGAATTTAAAAACCTAATTACGAAAACCGAAAATAAGACTTGTTTTGACCTTAGCTATGGCACTTGATTCTGTCAAATCGTTCACTGCCGCCTCAGACTCGGTTGTAGCGACCTAAACGCCGATAAGTATCTCAGTGAGCTAGCACTATAAATCGGCTACACTCCGGACTAGTACAAGCTGCCATGCAAACACACACACGTACACGCAGGTCGCTGTATAAAGTGCAATAATCTTTGCCGCGACGTTAAACCCCATTTCACCTCACCTTACGGGTCAAACGACCACATGCATCTCATCCCCATGCTGGACGACCACGTGACAAATCGACGTGACAAATCGTCATATTGCTAACAGACGACAAAGGTGATTTGCAGTTTTAGAAAAGAAACGTTTTCGTGAATAATATTGTTAAAAAATATCCTTTTGGATTGCACTGCGGATTTTTATATTACTTTTTAAAGCTTTTTGTTTTCCCCTTTCTGAGTACGCGATCTCCTAGCAACCACGCCCCATGAGCGCACCCGACTTAGGTTGCTGCTTACAACTGTCAAGAACTTTGCAAGTTCTCTTGTCTTTAATATGAGCAGCAAAACATTTTCACGTGACGCTTAATTTGACGGAGAGTTGTTCGAAATGATCAGGGAGCCTTTGGTCATTTCCATTTTGACATTTGTGACTTCATTGTGGAGAAAGTTCCAATTCAAGATGACATGATTTCGACCGTCAACTCGAATCGTCAAGATGGCGCCTCTCTTCCCGCCCTTGCAAGATCAACAGAAACTTTGACACATTCAGTGCAGATTCTTGGGATTAGTGAATCAGTGTCACAGCGAGATTTTACTGTGGAACCAGATGAAGCCGAATATTTATGTTCACACTTCTTTTGTCAACCATGCGTGACACAGCACATGCAATCGCAGTTGGGGAATGGTGCGGCCACCATTTTGCAGAATATACATAATTAAAGTTGTCTTGGAATATGTGTTTTGGAGTTGTCGTTGATCGTAAGTACAATATTATCTAGATACGCCTAAAGTGGGTCAAAACATCTAGTATATTTCATTACATATCTGTCAGTTCCTTATGTGCATTGTTATGTTGATACACGTGACATAATCATATATTGTAGTCAAACTAAGAAATAGTGGCGCTTCAAATAAGGCCCCTTCCTAAACACTAGTTGAGAAATGGGTGTAATTTTGTAAGTTTTATAAATATAATCTGAATGCAAATGACCAAAACAAAAGACATATCCGTAATTTTCGGATTGAACTGAAAGAATCGTGTCGTCAATTTCGTATTTATGTATCGTTACTGTTACATTACCGAAACTGTTTTTCTGCTGCTGATCTGTCGTAAAAACATACAATACACTTTGACCACAAATGCATTGACCATGTGCTTTGCTATTAATAGCGCAACCGTAAATAAGCTCCGCCTACTGTGATTGATGCAGACGCCAAACACGATCGATTAGCTTTTTTATGATAAAACTACAGAAGGTGTATTGACTAAGATCTAGATATGGAGCCATTTGTGGTATCCAGGGTTTGTCATTTAAGTTGACGGTCAATGGTGATCTTGTTCCCGTATGGTTTTCAAAAAGCCTCTCCCGACACTCGGTTGTGTTTACATTGTCTGTCACCGTTAGAACTGAAACACCGCCACCTTGCGGGCTATTTTATAGTCAGGGTGGGGCTTTAGAATATGTATGAAAATGTCAAAGCTATTGTGAGAGTGGGAAATATGACCATGTGTCTTCTCAGTGAAGGTGTAATGACGACAAATGTCTATTAAACGGTTACGATCTGCACGATGTGGTCTGGCATTGCCATTTTGCAGTCCACATTTTCTGCCGATAATTCTAGCGAATGGACGCAAATTGTCGTCAACATATTGCTGGCCAGCTAAATGTTCATTCACAATAACCAAATCAGCTGTTACAGTGGTTTATTAGTGAAAAGTAAATGGTTTAATTATAAGCATTGCTTTATAACTAACTGCGATAAAATGCTTTGTCTGGCTGTACAATGTCAACCTATTTCTTGGTGAGTAAGTGAGTACGTTTGGTTTAACGCAGCTTTGAACACTATATCAGATTTATCATGGCGAGTTAGCTTGATGTGTGAAGAAAGCCCGACAGTTACTGTTACGGCGCTGACAAAACTAGAAAACCAGTCAAGGCGACCCTGGGATTCAAACCAACGACAGCAGCTTTCTAATTAGCTCATTAGACCACTGGTCCACCCAGGTCTTAGGTTTATTTTGCTGTGGAAAATACTAATTCGATGACGTGTTTGTTTCTCATATACCAAATTATAAATGCATTTCCATAACAAATCCAGGTATGCAACACATATGTACAACAAAATCTTTAAGTGTTCATTGGTTTTATTTCATTGACAAAGAAGTGCCATCTGAAAAGGAAAGCAAAGATTCCGTAAAACAGTAACAACAATAATGTATGCACAGCTTTATAATGAAACAAGAGGATATATTGGGTCTAGTTTGCTTTGAACGTTTTCATCTTGTTATATATCCCATGAATATTAAAGTTAATGTTACATTGCGTTAAGTTATGTACAAGAAACGTACATTAGAAATCGAAGCAGTGAGAAACAAGCTAACCTTGTCAGTTCCTTTGTTGAGGAAGTGGTGGCCTATCGTCGGGACCTGTGGATGCTTCACCCTTTGGTCTCCGGTGCCTTTTTTTTCTTGACCTCCAGGACCTCCGGGAACTCCTGGACCTCCAGGGCCTTCTGTTGGTGGTGCCTGTCTGCGTGGTTGTGATTGTTCTTGACCTCCGGGACCTCCGGGACCTCCAGGGCCTTCATTTTCTTGACCTCCGGGACCTCCGGGGCCTCCGGGGCCTTCTGTTGGTGGTGCTTGTCTGCGTGGTCGTGATTGTTCTTGACCTCCGGGACTTCCGGGACCTTCTCTTCCCTGACCTTCTGGACACCTTGGGCGTTCATTTTATTGTCCTCCGGGACCTCCGGGCCCTCCGGGGCCTTCTGTTGGTGGTGCTTGTCTGCGTGGTTGTGATTGTTCTTTACCTCCGGGACCTCCGGGACCTTCTCTTCACTGACCTTCTGGACCTCCGGGACCTCCGGGACCTCCAGGGCCTTCATTTTCTTGACCTCCGGGACCTCCGGGACCTTCTCTTCCCTGACCTTCTGGACCTCCGGGACCTCCATGGCCTTCATTTTCTCGACCTCCGGGACCTCCGGAGCCACCAGGGGCTTCTGTTGGTGGTGCTTGTCTGCGTGGTCGTGATTGTTCTTGACCTCCGGGACCTCTGGGACCTTTTCTTCCCTGACCTTCTGGACCTCCGGGATCTCCGGGAGCTCAAGGGCCTTCATTTTCTTGACCTCCGCGACCTCCGGGGCCTTCTGTTGGTGGTGCTTGTCTGCGTGGTTGTGATTGTTCTTGACCTCCGGGACCTCCGGAACCTTCTCTTCCCTGACCTTCTGGACCTCCGGGACCTCCAGGGCCTTCATTTTCTTGACCTTCGGGACCTCCGGGGCCTTCTGTTGGTGGTGCTTGTCTGCGTGGTTGTGATTGTTCTTGACCTCCGGGACCTCCGGGACCTCCGGGACCTTCTCTTCCCTGACCTTCTGGACCTGCGGGACCTCCGGGACCTCCAGGGCCTTCATTTTCTTGACCTTCGGGACCTCCGGGACCTTCTCTTCCCTGACCTTCTTGACCTCCGGGACCTCCAGGGCCTTCATTTTCTTGACCTACGGGACCGCCGGGACCTCCGGGGCCTCCGGGGCCTTCTGTTGGTGGTGCTTGTCTGCGTGGTTGTGATTGTTCTTGACCTCCGGGACCTCCGGGACCTCCGGGACCTCCAGGGCCTTCATTTTCTTGACCTCCGGGACCTCCGGGTCCTTCTCTTCCCTGACATTCTGGACCTCCTGGACCTCCAGGGCCTTCATTTTCTCGACCTCCGGGGCCTCCGGGGACTTCTGTTGGTGGTGCTTGTCTGCGTGGTTTTGATTGTTCTTTACCTCCGGGACCTCCGGGACCTCCGGGACCTCCGGGACCTTCTCTTTCTTGTCCTCCCGGGCGACGTTCGGGACCATCCTGAAGAGGATAGCACCAACATGTGGCAACACAGGAGAGCGCCACTAGTACCAGTAAAGTCTTCATATTGAGAGTGATGCTCATGTCTCGACACAGCACAACTTTTATACACTTCCAGTCCTACACCAGATGGCTCCTCATTACATCGTAGTAATTACTACTTGGAACTGTGTTATTCTTTGCATTGTCACCGAGATAAGTTTGCTAATTAAAACGTGACTTACCGGTTAAAGATATGTATTGCTCATTGTGTAGATATCCTTAACTGGACAAAGACCGAACTGGACATATGCTATGATTAGCATGTTAGACTGCAGATAGGACTTCGGTGATTAAAGCGTCACGTTTCAATCGACGTATAATTTTCTTATTACATAACCTAATGTGCACCTGTGACATAAGAAATTAATTTTTAATAGTCCTTGTTGAAAATATTGTATACAACGAGACAAATTCTAAATTACATTTCTTGGATTTAAACAGATGGTGCTGTGAATGAATGAAGCTTGTGGGTGGCTTTTTCTGCTTATGGTCATTTAAAAAGGCATATTTCATTACATACTCGAAATAATTACTTCTAACATTTCAAAATCTGTCCTATTCTTAAGGCAAATTCACAAAATACCATACAGTGTACGACCGCCAATGCCCAAGTGCAAGTATGGCAGGGTAAGAAATTGGAAACTTGTGGTTTGTAAAGACTTACTAGAGAAGAAACAGGTTATTTTGAAGTTTGTAGAGGCAACGTAGACAATTTCGGCGGTTACAGTTTGTACAAAACCCCATCAGATGCAAATTGACCTTATTCTATGATCAACAGAGTCGATCAAGTATCATTAGTGGTCAATATAAAAAAAAGTCGACAAAAAACATTCCTTAATCATAAGAAATCTCTACGATCCCGACCACATCATGAGCATGTGTTTATGAATCACTACAGTGATCATATCAGGTTTTCGAAAAGGTGTACGGGTCCGGCCACACCCTTTGCACACTTTACAAACACGTGCAAAGGTAAGTCAGATGTTCACTTGAATTGTATTGTGTAACTAATGCGTCACATTTGGAAATGTCCTGATGTCTACCATAAAATCATTTGAAAGCTTATCTGAGACCATGAATGTTGTAACCCTGATCAAAGAACTTTTAAGTCATATGGCGGTCTTTGAAATCTTCATAAAAGTAGCATGCTCGATTGTTCCTCCAAAATTGTGATACACAATTTTCGTAGATTTGTCTAAAGCCTTTGATTCTGTTAGCAGAAATAAATTATGGTCATGTTTCAAAGCACATGTTCCTAGCAGTAAAATTGGAATGTTAATGTGCTGTGTGTATCAGAATGTAAATCTATGTCAGAAGTGTTGGGTCCGACTTAGCCCGGGCTGTCAAAATCAACTTAAACCTCACAGATGTATCATCAAATGGATTCACATCTATAGGTTGGTATTATATCCACCTAAATACCACTTAATAGTGTCTCAGATCGCGGTATATAAAGAACAGAAGGGGCTCAAAGTGCAGACCTTTTCCGTCTACATTCTCAACATAGTCTCTATCAGAAGTGCTTGGCTTGTGTTGGGTCCGACTTGGCCCGGGCGGTCAAAATCAACTTTAAAAAGAAGGATGTATCTTCCAACGTGTTTACATCTATAGACTTGTGTTATATCTACCTATATACCACTTTATAATGTCACGGTACATCGTATTTAATGAAAACAAGGGGATAAAAGTGAAGCATTTTTACTGTATGTTCTTAAGAAAATCTATGTCAGAAGTGTTCGGTCCGACTTGGCCAGGGCGGTCAAAATCTACTTTAAACACACAGATGTATCTTCAAATGTGTTTACATCTATAGATTAGTTTTCAATCTACCAATATACTACTTTAAAATGTCACGGTACATCGTATTTAAAGAAAACAAGGGGCTCAAAGTGAAGACCTTTTCCCTCTACATTCTCAACATAGTCTCTATCAGAAGTGTTTGGCTTGTGTTGGGTCCGATTTGGCCCGGGCGGTCAAAATCTACTTTAAACACACAGATGTATCTTCAAATATGTTTACATCTATAGATTAGTATTAAATATACCTATATACCACTTTATAATGGTACGGTACATCGTATTTAAAGAAAACAAGGGGCTCAAAGTGAAGCACTTTTACTGTATTTTCTTAAGAAAATCTATGTCAGAAGTGTTCGGTCTTGGACCACTCAGTATTATTGTCGTGAGGGTTAAAAAGACGCCGTAAATTAAAGTTCTCTTTATGTCTAGCAACTTTGTTTTACAGTCGTTATGTTTAAGATTATTAAGTCGATCCCACAGGTAGAATGATACGCAGGATGCAAAAGGAGGTAAGCCCAAGTACAGTACAGAAACTGAGGTAAGTTGGGCTCTGTTAGTTTTCTGTATGCTTACACATCATCACGCCATACTGGATTTAATTATGTTTCTTATTCTAATACTGCTAATGTTTGTCAGTGGCCAGTGATAGTATGTTTTATGGAAAAATATTTTTCATACCAATATGGCGATATGTTATAACTTTATTTCGTATTTGTGAGGGACACGACATTATCAAACGACGCTTACAAAAGTATTCTGGAAGCATTTTAGGACAAACATGTTAACGGATGTTCAAAAGAAAATAAATGGGTTTTGTTAATTAGCCTCACCAAATGCATAAGTTATCAATGAAACGGTATGCTATTAACTACCACTAAAAGCTCAGGACAGCTAATTATATAATTAAGGGCAAATGGTTGACTGATTACGCAACACCTACATGATTGCAATTACACAAGGGGCAATTGAGCAAGCTGAGTACAGGTGTAATTTGGATTAATTCCACACTTAATGTGCATATATACTAATAAATCAAATACTCAAAAGCTCAAACAGCTTAACTAAGGCAGGTAAACAAATAGAGTTCATTTGGATCCCCGCCCACGTAGGAATCTTTGGAAATGAAAACGCAGATAAAGCAGCAAAATTATCCCTTAAACTCCCAGAAATAAGTTTAAACTTACCCAGCTCAAAATCAGAAGTCAAAAGTGTCTCTAAACAAAAAATCAACAAAAAATGGCAAAATATATACCAAAACTCAAATAGCCAAATCAGGAAAGTACTCAAAAAGCCCTTAACTAAAGCAAAAATACTACACCCATCCAAAAATATCGACAGAATAATTACCAAACTACAAACAGGCCACACCAAACTACATGTAAATAATCACCGTAAAATAGCTAATCTACACACAACAGGAAACTGCCCACATTGCAAACAACAAGAAACACCAGAACACTTTTTTCTATCTTGTCCACGCTATGCCAAGTTTAAATTTGATAAATACTTTTTTGTTAACCAGCTCAGCATACATACTATACTCCACGGCAATGAAGTTTCATCTTCCTCAGACAATGAATACATTATAAAATCAGTTCACAATTACATCATTGAAACAAACCGCTTTACGTAAGTTTTGTGTCAACTTAAGAATATAAAATGCATTTGGTATCTTGCTTTCCATTTTATTTCATGTTGTGTTACTCATTAATGTCTGCTCTATAGACTTCATTACAATCTACATGTATGATGAACAATATTAGGAGAAGCATTAATATAGGCCTTTTTGGCCTGTTTGCTAATCCTTTTTCCATTTTGTAATGCTATTTAATGTAAAATCTGAACATTAATGGAAATAAAATACTGTTTAAATCAAACACCAGAACACGTACTCTTTCACTGCACACACTACCAAACACACCGAACAACACTACAGACCACCCTAAATCTTAAAACCGCACTTACACTAGAATCAATCCTAAATCCACAAATTAATTAGAAAAATTCAAAGCCTTAGGCATATACCTAATTAAAACAGGACTAATTAGTCGCATTTAAACCCCAAATAAAATATTAAAACCAAAACTACCTTATCTAACAACCACCCAACACACACAGCTCCCTTGGTTCGTCCTCCACCCACTCTTGGAATTCATTCCAAATCTCAAAATTTCAAAATTACTATATAAGCAACCCCTAAAGCCC